ATTCCCAAACGTTTTCCCAAACAACTTCTGGCTTCGAAAGACTATCAGACATGAGCATGATCACAAAACATTGACGCATATATGACGCCGAGCCCGAAAAACTTGTCCTCACAATATCATCAATGTATTCCTGGTCGTCTTCTAATAAACCTCGAGCAAAGCATGCCTCTTTGTAAGACGAATACTCAACGTTGTTAAACGTTCTAATATCCTCGTAACATGTACAACCTCTTACAATATTCAAGAGGAGACGAATATAAAAAGCTTGTTCAATTTTTCTTGGGGCGTAGTTGATTCTACCAATACTGAATCCTCTTTTTCTATCACTAAACTTACATTGTTTTTTATTCCAGATAAACCAAATAGGAATTTCAGCTAGAGTGAGTGTCTGAGCAAAAGAGTTTACCTTGTTTAATTCAAACCAGCCCAAAAACATGGTATCTTCAATCATAACCCGGTTTGTAATCTCTTCATATGTGTCATCATCTTTGAAAATAATAATCTGTTTTCAAGGTAAATGAAACTGAATTCTCTCAACTGCTACGGAACGATCGTGTATGGAGAACTTAAAAATTCTCCAAGAACCTTCAGATGCTGATACATATCTGAATAACAAACACATTTATCATTTTAATAAACTATATATAAGAAAATAACTCATATAGATTAATATACAAATATAACAATGTTGACAAATACCTGCAGTTAAAGAAGTCTTTGATTTCGTTTTTCTTCTCCTCTGTTGAAGCAGGTTCAGTAGAAACATTCTCAGCATTTTTTGCTTTTTTTTTTTGGTAATCTTCTCTCTACTTTCAACAGCTACAGTACACCGATCCTGACCTTTATTAATATACTTAAATAAGTACTTAATAGAGCCAGTCTCGTTACACCATTCAACATTAATGTAAGCTCTATATCGAAGTAAAAGTTTCTTGTTATATGGAATGACATATGTATTGTCACATTTGAAGCCATTTTTCTCAACGAAATGATCAGACTGTTCTCTTCTTTGGTAGACAGGAAATCCTTCTCTGTTAAACGTTGTCTTCTCAGCAAAAGCTTTTGGATAGAGCTTAGAACATTTACCATTCTCCATGCAAGGAGAATTAATGTTGACAGCTCCACATGGACCATGAATCATCATATCTTTAACAACTTGGTATAGGTCAGGTTCCTTATTTTTATCAGGAATTTCAGCTGATATGATATTGTCGATATCTTCGGTTTTAGGAAACTTAGAGCCAGGTGCCATAAACAGTAGAATGTGAGCATGAGGAAGACCACGTTTCTGAAATTCAATGGTATGCATAGCTGCATTAGAAACAAACAGGAAAATTAAAACAATAACTTGGAAAATTAGCAAGAAAAAATAAATGATAAATAAAAATACTCACATGCCACAGTTTTTCCCAATAGCTCTCTGTTTGTTACATCAATCATCAGAGATTGAAGTTTCATTTTGAAAATCCTACAAAGTATATCAGGTCTGTCGTCAGCAGTCAACTTGCGGGCCTGTAAATACCTGGTAATTTCAGGCCATTTAGGGTTACAAGTAAAGGTTATGAATAGATCAGGAAAACCAAAATGTTTGCAAATCGCCATAGCATCCAAATACATATTCTTCATGTATCTTGGTCCTCCAGTAAACGAAGCTGGCAACAGAAAACGACTTCCCTGGTCGTGCATATCACTTTTCCCATCATTCTCAGCTTGTTGAATAGAGTCAAAAGAATCTGATCTTAGACTCTTCTGATTCATTCGCAGATAATGAAGTCTGTTAGACTCTATTGTAGTATAAGAATCCACCAAGAATTGCTGGAATAACCTCTTAGAATGAAGAAGAGTATGACTCTCTCCCTCCCGTTCATGAAGCCGGAAAGCGTACCATTGCCTCATACTGATATTCTGCCTCTTATGCTTTGAAGTAGCTCGAGTTGT